AAAAAAAAAAAAAAGAGTGTTGAAACAAAAAGGAAATAAGAAGCCCAAAACACTGAGTACTAAGGCAAGCCTCACCCAAGCAGTGGTATTTTCAATTGCCTTGTATGCACATGAAAGCTGGACAATGAATGAAGACCAAAGCATAGTTAATGCCTTTGAATTAGGTTGTTGGTGGAAAACATTGAATTTACCATGGACTGTCAGAAGAGGAACCAATCTATCTTGCAAGAAGCACAGGTAGAATGAATGGACCTTAGAAGTGAGGGTGGCGATACTTCATTTCATAGACTTTGGCCACGTTATCCAGAGGTGCCAGTCCTGGAAAGGACACCATGAGTGATAACGTCAGTGAGAAAAGAGGAAGAGCCTCCACAAGCTGATTTGACACAGTGGCTGAAACAATAGGCTCCAACATGGAAATTATTGTGTGGGTAGTCCAGGGCCTGTCAGAATTTATTTCTGTTGTCACGGAGTCAAAATTGGCTCGATGACACTAAACAACAACAAAATTGCACAAGTAGAACCTAAAGTGGGAAAAGTGTTTTACTTCTCCTTTGAAACTTTGACCAAGACAATGCAGTCATTTCCCCTTATCCCTTAAGCAGTGTTGTGAGGATGCCCAGGGCATGCACATAGAACTTGATATTCAGTTTTCACTTCATAATCCATACACTGTGTTGTGTTTTGTCTGTAAGATACGAACAATCAAAGAATTTCAACCCCTCTGGGGCAGAGAATATCTTTGCTAGCGACGTTAGCCTTTTAAAGCAGGATTAATGACACAGAGAGGGTTCATTAATTTTAATAGTCATGAAAAGATTTCATAGTTCTTCATGAGAATTACCGTCCAGGAACCTCACCACACTCTCCCACCCTCACACACATCACCAAATATTTCAATTGCATAAGCACAACATTGCAAAAGCAGGAGAACTACGAAAAGCCTGCATAGCCTTGAGATATAATGTTTCATCTTTCTCTCAGTGCCTGTTACTAAATGCTAAAATATAAATGCTGGGCTAGCAGCTAAGGGTTGGGGAGGAAGAAGGAAGTCCTCATAATCATCAGCACTTTTCCACTCATTTTTCCTTTTTATAACAAGGGCAACACACAATTGATGGCATTTTGGTAATGTTTTTAAATGTTCAATTAGAGAATCCTAGAGACAGTTTTTAAAACTACAAGCCGAGCTGGTTGTATTTATGCCACATAGATTAGAAATAGCCACAATTCTCAGGTTCTTGATAATGTCTCACACTTTGGTGTACAGAATTGAAATCCTGATCACAGGGCCTGACATATAGTAATTTCACCATAAATATTTGTTGAATGAAAGAACAGTTACTTGGGTTTCAGTAAGATCCGAATGAACCTAGATTTCTCTTCCCAGAAATATGAGAGAGGAGGCATTCCCTCAGTAGGAGATCCTCAGTACTCGTACCCTGCAGGATCCTGGAGAGCAAAGTGGTAGTCGTACCACAAGTACAACATGGAACAACTGTGTCCTCACCAGTTCATCCCAGTCTCCTAAATACTCCCTTTCAGCATGAAAATTGGAGAATAGAATTTAACAGATTCAATGCCATATGTAATCAAAATAAAATGAATATGTGGATTCATCCTTCAATTAATTACCTTCAATGCATACAAAGGTTTAAGAAAGCTGGGGTAGTAAGTGATCAACCCGAGCCTTCCTTTTCCTTTTGTCCCATCCACCTTTCTCCTCTATTCTCCTTTTCCCTTCACTTTCTTTCAAACTGATTTCTTCCACCCCCTGCTCTCTTCTTTGTCATTCTCATTACCAATGTTCAGTAGTTTTAAATATCTGTGTTGTCAGAGACTGGAGGAAATCAAGCTGTTTCACATTCCCAGAAATAGAGCAGTTCTTATGGGGAAAATCTGTCTTCTGGTCACACTAACAAGAAGCCCTCGTGGTTCAAAACAAACAACCACTGCTCAGGAGAAAGATGAGACTGTTAGCTCCCAGTAAGATGTATAGCCTTTGAAGCCCTGGAAGAGTCAGAATCCACTCAATGCCGGTAAGGGTTTTCTTTTCTTTTCATTGGATTTTATTTGTCAGAATCCAATGGATTGTAGTGGACTTGCTTTAGATTTAAGCAGCACTAACAGTGATTTAGAGACTGTTTCATGAAACTATGACCACACAGAACATCCTTTTAGATGTGAATACAGTATTCACACAGTAAGCTGAGGATTTTACTTTTTATAATGCCAATTTCAAGGATCTCTGGTGGTGCAGTGGATTAAATGCTGAGCTGCTAACTGAATGGTCAGTAGTTCAAATCCACCATCCTTTCTTCAGGAGAAATATGAGGCTATCTACTCTTGTAAAGATTTACAATAGAGGGAGCACTTATTCCCTGCCCAATAATATTGCTATGAATCTGAATCAATTCATTAGCAGGGGGTTTTGTTTGGGATTGGGCTAATGTCAGTTTCAACATGATCATTAGCACGATGATAATTAACCTTTAGCCAGATATGTAAAATTCATTGTTTGTGTGAATATTTCAGTAGGGCAAGAGTGGATGTTATTTAATACAGCTAGGCATATAAGATACACATTTTTCCTGACTCTTAACTTCAAATTCACAAATGCTGGCTGGAAGAGACCTTCACAGGTGGGAAACCAGTCTGCACTCCTTTCATAATGCTGGCAGGGAGAATAGAGGAGCCGGCTATAGTTATAGCAGAAGATCATTTCTCTGCCACATTCTCTCTTTTCTGCATGCTTCTGGTAAGGATGTCAGGGAACCTCCAGAATATCCTATTTACTGACCAAGACTTTAAGTCTGTTATTTACCATCAGGAGAACCAGGTACAAATTTTAGGTAGTTCTTTTCTTAGATAATTCTGTTGATGCTTTATATTCATTCTACTCTGGCATTATGTGCTTCTAAAATTCTTTTCATTCATTCATTCAACAAAGTTTCATTGAATACCCACTATTTGCCAAGAACCAGGATAAAATTAATTCTGTGGATTACTTTTACTCCAATTCAGCCTTACATTCTTTTTATCAGGAAGAATTTTGATAAGCAGGAGCCTGCTTAGATAGCAATCCTATCTCTACTATATATTGAGTCACTGTCAACATATAGCAATTCCTAATTCTTTGGAAATGTTCTTCAATATGACAAAATTGAAAGCAAGAAAATGACACAAGGTAAGACAAAATAGAAATTGAAATCAATTTTGAAGCAGGATCATGGAAAGACAACCAAACCTGAGGTCACGTGGCCTAGATCCAGTCTCAACTTCATAATCCTAGGCTACTTAACCATTTTGAGTCTCTGGGTCTATATCCTAAAAATTAGCCTAGAAATCCTTACATTACCTTCCTCGTGGTATTAACATGAAGGGAAAAATTGAAATAATGTTTCTGAAAGTAATCTGGAAACCATAACACACCATAAAAATGTTAGTTATCATGGTCACACTCTGAAATTTCCTTTGAGGGAAAAGATTACATTATAGTTTCTTTTTCTCTTTTCTTCCAAGGGGGAGGGGATTTAGCTTGTGAATTAGCATCATTTGGGTATCTGGCAGCAAAATGCACATTTCGTTTCCTCATGAAAGAGACGAGTTAAAAATTTTCCTTGTTGAAAATGAAATGCACTCCTCGAGGGCCAGACTCAGAGTTGGAGATGCTTTGTTTACTGAGCGTTTTAGCCAAGGCTTCAGGTCCACAGAGGAAAACACCTATTGTGGTACTATAAGGAAAGGGGAAAAAAAAGACAGTTTCAGATTTGAGGGTGCGATAGACATTAATAGGATAGACGATTTTCCCATTCATACCAGGGCTCAGGGTAGCTTCTCCTCTGCTCCTTTGTTCCACCAACAACTGGCAGATATACACTACAGGAGAGTGGCTCAGTCACATTTGTAGGGGTAACTACATGATTCAAAGGATGGTTAATTGTCCTAGACAGTAACATCCAAGCAAATCTTATGGAAAGTTCTACCACAGAGAGTATGGTGAATTCATAAATCTGTGGGCTACTTCTCTTCAAGACTCTTTCACCCTAAAGCTTCTTTGGATACTTGAAATCAGTAATAAATCTGTTTTATTCGCTACAAGTACACCAAAAACTTGGTTAAGTTTCATCTCTATAAATTTTAGAGTCTATAATTTTGCTCCTGGTGGTTTCAGCCTGGCTGCAGGAACAGATTTCCAAGGCCCACTACAGACCTAGGGGGGAGCTGCACCCACAGTTTGACAAAATCCCCATGTGATTTTCATTCTCATTAATGTTTAAGAAGCACTTGTCTAAGCGAATGCAATTATAATGATTTATTGAGTGCATTTTGTGTTCTAGCAAGATGGTAGACCCTCAAAATTTCATGATAGGTAAAGCTTTGGTCAACTTATTTTAGACAGCAAATCTATAGCTAGTTTCTTAGTAATAGGAATTATATTGAATTGTGGTCATTTAGGGAGGAGCCAAGTTCAGTAATCTGGGGTAGGGGCCTGGAAATATTTGCTTTTTGTAACTCCATAGGTCGATTTAAATGTGTTTTAAAGGCACCATGATTGTGCTATTTGGTAAGAATTGGGCTGCTAACCACAGGGTTGGTAGTTCAAACACACTAGCTGCTCAAAGAGAAAACAATGAGGCTATCAGCCTCTATAAAAATGTACAGCTTAAAAAAACCCTGAACCAGGTTACTATGAGTTAATGTAATATAATCAACCTAATGACAATGGGTCTATTAAACTGAGGGATATCTGGAGCCTGCTATTGAGTGTAAATTCAACTGTTATATAGCAATCAAATTATTTTAGTTTCTAGAATACACAAATCTAGTCATGTTTTGGAGCTGCTGCTTTAGGCAGACTGTTAGCCTCAAGAACACTCTGGTTTTGGGATTTCTTACTTCGGATGTTGACTTGCAATGGTCTTGAACTCATTATCCCAGTTGGGACGGCCGTATAAAGTCTTTTGTTTCAGGCCAGTGATCACATCTTTCTCCTCATCATGGTGCACAGCAAAGTGGTTAGCCTGCAGGAGAGGAAATCAATTCACAAAAATGAGACATGCTGTAAAAACATACACAGATGTAATTATATGTCTCATAAAACTAAGCTCTCATTATCCACTCTTAACAACAGCAAACATTCAGAAAAGGGCATCATAATAAACAACTTGAAGGCAAACAAAGATGAACAAACTAAACATGCTAGAAGTTTCTCAAATAGCTCAGCATAAAGTTAGTATATAATCCAGAAATCCGACACCTAGAAATATATTTTTAATTGTAAAACAGTTTTCAAACAAAATATTCATAACAGCATAGTTTATAATAGCCAAAGGGTAGAAACAATCAGCATGTCCATTAAATGATAAATAATAGCTGGTATAGCCATATAATGAAATATTGTTCACCTGCAAAAAAGAATGATGTATTAATGCATGCTACAACATAAATATAAACATTAAAGACATTTTGAAAAGTGATAGAATTTAGTATCAAAAATGACATATGAAAAGTAAATCAGTGGTTTTCTACATGTAGGTGGTGTGGAGAAGTGGAAAGATACTACTATTGGATAGGGAGATTCTTTTTGGGGTGATGAAAATGTTCTGACATTGTGGTGATGGATCCATAGCTGTGGAGATACTAAAAGAACACATTGACTTGCATATGGTAAATAGGTGAATTGTACAGTATGCAAATTATACCTCAGTTAAGCTGTGTTTTTTTAAAAGAATGTGTCAACTGGTTCTCTCTCATGCAGTTTACAATCTAGAACAAAGGATTAGAGTGTGATTAATGCCATTGAACAGGCAAACATTCCCTAATGAGTACAAAGAAATGAGGTGGAGTAGGAGGATACAGGAAAGTTGCAAGGGAACATCATCTGAGCTAATCTTTGAAGTGTGAGTATGAGTTCCCAGGTGGTACAAATGTTTAAAGTGCTCAAATACTAACATAAAAGTTTGTGGTTTCAGATGGATGTAATAACTGAATGTCAATGGACTTAACTCAACCATTAAAAGACAGTTACTAGCAGACTGACCTATAAAACATAACCCATCTATCTTTTGTCTACAAGAGACATATGTCAAACTCAGATAAAAATAGGTTTGGAATTAAAGCCTTGCAAAGAATTTACCAAACAAACAGCAATTCAAAGAAAGCATGGGCTGCAATCCTAATCTCTGACAAAACTTATCTGCAGGTGCAAGCCATAACAAGAGATAATACTCAAGGGATCAGTAGACCAAGAATGAGTGAACATAATAAATATATAGGCGCCCAATGAGGGACCAGCAAAATCCATCAATCAAACGCTACAAAAGATAGAAAAAGAAACCACAGGCTCAACAATCATAGTAGGTGACTTTAATACAATTCACTGTTCTCAGTGAACGATAGATCACCGGGAAAGAAGCTTAACAAGGAAGTCACAGAACTAAACTGTACAATTAGACAACATGACCTAATAGACATTTTTAGAGCTCTTTACCCAAATGCAAAAAAATGACATTCTTTTCAAGCACACATGTCAATACTCAAAGATAGACTACATGTTGAGGTGCAAGTCTAACCTGAGTAAATTCAAGCATTTACAGATCACCCAGACTTCCCTCACAGACCACTATGCAATAAGACTGGAAATCAACAAAAGGACAGTTAAAAAGCAAGGGGAAATGATTGGATATGAATAATTCCCTACTGTAAAACGAATGGGTACTGTTCAGAGTAGAAATGAAATTAGGAAGTTTTTAGAAACCAATGAGTACAAGAATACAACATACCCAAACTTTTGGGACACAGAAAAAGCAGTTATCAGAGGAAGCTTGATAGTGATGAATACACAGGTGTAAAAGGAATAGAGACTTATGAATAATACGCAGTCACAAAGCCTCCAGGAATTAGAGCAGAGTCAACAGGATAATCCTACTAATAGCAAAAGAAATGATAAAAATCAAGGCAGAGAAAAACGAGTGGAAAAACAAGAAAACAATGCAAAAAAATTTTTTTAAACAATGCAGCAAAAAGCCAGTTCTTTGACAGGATTAACAAAATCAATAGACTGTTGACAACCCAAACCAAAGAAAGGAACTAGCAAACATCAGTAGCCAAGATGAGGGATGAAACAGGAGAAATTACAGCAGATTCTCTTGAGATCAAGAAATTAATTACACAGTAACATGAAGGCCTGTGCTCCAATGAATTTAACAACTTAAAAGACATGGACAAATATTTGGATTAACAATCCCTCTCTAAATTATCCCATAAAGACATCAAGAACCTTAAAGACATCAAGAACATTAAAAGATCCATAGCAATAGAAGAAACAAATAAGATTATCAAGGGACTGCCAACTAAAACATCCCCTGGATCAGACAGCTTCACAGGAGAATTCTACCACACATTCAGCAAAGAACTGACACCAATCCTACACAAACTCTTCCAGAGCATACAAAAGAACAGCAAACTCCCAAACTCTTTCTCTGAAGCTAGTATAACACTGATACCTAAAGAGGGCAAGGATCCTACAAGATTAAGAACTACAGACCGATATCTCTAAAGAACATCAATGCAAAAATCCTTAACAAAATTTTAGCCAATTGAATACAAAACTGTATAAAACTAACAATTTATCATGATCAGGTAGGATTTATTTCAGGGATTCAGGGATGATTCAACATCTGACAGTCCATCAACATTATTCACCATCTTGACAAGAAAAAAGATAAGAAGCACATGATAATATCGATAGAGCAGAAAAAGCACTTGACATCTAATACCCATTTCTGTTTAAGACACTCAATAAGATAGGAATGGGAGGAAAAATCCTCAATATACTACAAGCCATATATGGAAAACCAACAGGCAATGTAATAATCAATAGAGAAAAGATGAAAACATTCCCACTGCAAAATGGGACCAGACAAAAATCTCCTTTCTCCCTCTTTCATTTAACATGATACTGGTAGTCCTAGCTAACAGCGTAAGGCAAAATAAAGACATTGAATGAACTCATCTGGGGAAAGAGGAGATGAAACTATAGTTATTCTCCGATGATATGATTTTATATATTGAAAACCCCAAAACCTCCACAAGAGGAGTGCTGGAAGTGATCGAGGAATATGGCAGAGTGGCAGGATATAAGATCAACAAACAGAAGTTTATTGGACTGCTATATATACCAGATGAGTCAATGGAAGAGGAGATCAAAAAGGTAGTACCCTTCACAATATCCAAGCACAAATTGAAATATCTAAGGATATATCTAACCAAAACCCCAAAATATTTCTAAGAGGAAAAATATAGTATTACAAGAAACCAAAAGTGACCTCCACAAATGGAAAAATATCCCATGCTCATGGATCAGAAGACTCAATATAGTAAATATATCAATCCAACCCAAGGCACTATATAAATTTAACATTATCCTGATACAAATTACAGCATCTTTTAAAAAAGAATTGGAAAAATTGACTACCACCTCACGTGGAGAGGGAAGGAACCCAGAATTAGCAGAGAACTCCTCAAGAAGAAGGATAAAGTAGGAGGGCTATTATACAGCCATAGTGGTGAAAACAGGGAGGTACCAGTATAACGACAGATGATCAGACCAGTGGAAAATAACAGAAAATCCAGAAATGAAAGCATCAGTGTACAGACAAGTAATCTTCGATAAGGGCCCCCAAAATATCAAATGGAAGCAGATGCCCTCTTCAACAAGTGGTGCTTGGAAAAATAGATATCTACCTGCAGAAAAAATGAAACAAAATCTTCACTCCACTCCATGCACAAAAATAAAGTCAAGGTGGATCACAGACCTCGAGGTAAAACCCCAAACTCTTAGGGCCATCAACGAGGGGATCAGGACAGACCTAAGAACTTTGGCATATGGAATACACAGGCTACTGGAAATAGGGAAGGACACAAATAAAGAGGAAACACAAATTGACAATTGAAATATACTGAAGATAAAACACCTGTGTAGATTGAAAGACTTCTCCAAGAGAGTAATAAGAGAGCCCACAGACTGAGAAAACATCTTTAGCAATGACACATAAGAAAAAAGGGCTTAATATTAAAATCTACAATATTCTGCTAGTCAATAACAAGAAAAAAAGAAATAGCCCACTGAGCAGGTGGACAAAAGACCTGAACAGAAGTTTCATAAGGGTGGAAATCCAAATGGCCAATAATCATATGAGAAAATGTTCCTGATCAATAATATGAAAATAATAATTTATAATTTATCATGGGTCCACGAAGGTGGGAGGGTGGGGAAGGGAGCTGATACCAACGGCTCAAGCAGAAATAAAATCTTTTGAAAATGAAGATGGCAACATATGTGCAAATATGTTTGATATAATTGGTGTATGGATTGTTTTAAGAGCTGTAAGAGCCCCCAATAAAATGATTTACTAATTAAAATATTTTTCTGGTATATACTTACAATGGAGTACTATGCAGTCCTACAAAGTAGTGATGAATGCATGGAGCACATTGTTTCATTGAAAGAGTTATAGAAAATTATTCTAAGTGAAGTTAGCCATGCACAAAGGACAAGTAAAACATGTGTCCACTGAGGCAAGTTCAAAAAGTACAATAGGCATAGAGGATAAGCTACTTAATGCATAAATCCTGGCTTGATGTCCAGGCACTTTGGCAGGGCCAGGCCTAACCCAAGGATGCAAATGACATCTAGCTGAAAAGGAGGTTAAAAAAAGAGAGAGAAAAAAGATGCGGGTGGTGGGGGAATAGTGCACTAATCCACCCACATGGAGGGCATTATGTTTCCACAGTAAAGGGAGAGAGAGACCACACATAATCCCATAGGGCCAGGGCTTGAGAAAACATACTGACATGGAGCAGCAAACTAACAGAGAGGATGTAAACTAATAGGGAGAGATAGATAGATAGATAGATGATAGATGATTGATAGATAGATGATAGATAGATAGATAGATAGATAGATAGATAGATAGATAGATAGATAGATAGATGATAGATAGAGAACCTCATCATGGCC